TATATATATATATATATATATATATATATATATAATTACGTACATTACATAATAACCTACATTTGATTTGATATTTAACAACTCTTTCAGAGCTTATGTTTACCACGCAGCTCTTTAAATTAAGCTGTCGCAAATTATCTTCATGATTGAAGTGCTGTTAAGTAATATTAAGTTAGTGCTCCTTTGTACCACAGTGAAAGTCGTGGAGAGAATTTTTGACCTTGGGTGAAAAAGATGCAGAAGCTGCTGGATCCACAGGATGGACATCATGGCCGAGGTGTTTGACATGCAATGACTGAAAACCTCCTGAATGAGGAGGATTGTAAACGTAGATTACACAAGTCCTACACCTTTTTAACTCCACTGCAATGTTCATTTACAACACATGGACATTCTGTATTATGGTTACGTTTTTCAGTACTCATTACAGATAAAACCAAAAAAAATGCATAAATAAAAATACTGGACTTTTTGGAGTTTTAAAAAAAGTCCTGTGGTTTTGTTTTTATCTGTTTTGGGGGGGATTTGCCGTGTCAAGGATAACTGAGAATCTTCACCAGCATTGTTACAGGTAAAAAACAATTACTTCACTTATCTACACTATTGACGTAAAAAAAACACTGTAAGCACTTCACTTTTGATGATCAGATGGAAGCTCAAGACTTGAAAATGTTTCTTTTATTAGAAATAAAGACCTGTACAAAAAAAAACAATTATACACTAATTATATATGCAAACTTAACAAGCTACGTTTGGCTATTTGTGGGCTTACCTTGCAGGATCTACATTTCTATAGATCAACTATGATCTACTCTAAATATTTTTAAACATGTCTGTTTGCCATGGAACGGGCAATGGATTCCAGCACCCCAAGGAGTGCCTGATTGAAAGCAGCACTCTGTTCAGCCTCCTGCCTTCGCTGTGCTGCTTCCTCTCTGCGAACATCTGCTTCCTCTCTCCTCAAGGCCATCTCCTCCCTCCTAATTGCCTTCTCCTGCTTCCTCGCTGCTGCAGCTTCTTCTTGCCTTGCTTTTTTGGCATCCTCACAAATAAAATGGAAGTGTTCCTCTCTCTGCTTCCAGTTCATCGCCTCTTGTTCTGTATGTGCAGAAACAAAGCTCTCTGCTGCACTTGTTGATCTGCGCTTTCTATTGCCTAGGAATAACACACAAGAAAATGGCTGTTAGATGATGAAGTACAGGTAGAGTTTTTAAATAAATTATTTACATTAAAGTTCCTGCTAATTTCAAAAGGTGTTTGTTCACAAGATCAGAAATGATTCTGTTCATAAAGCAGTCTAGTACTTTAATGATAGTAAGCAGGTGGGCATAAATAAACTACATGTAGTCATTTACAACGGTTTGTGCTAATTTAGAAAAAGAACAGAGCATCGTTAATCTGAACAAAAATCACTACACCCTGTATAATTTCAATAATAAACTTCATAAATGAAAGTTTAAGTAATAAATGAATAACTAAATTTAACAGTTATCCATTACAACTGAATAAACAAGTAGTTTGAATACATGCAAGGTGTTTTACAACAAAAACAAAACAACATTCATATCAACATGATCAATGTGATGTTAAACACGATTGTTGCTTCTTACCTAGTAACGGGTGCTGTTTGGTGCCGCTCTGCTGCGTGTTGCCCGGTGGCGTGGATGTGCCCGGTGGCATGCATGTACTCGGAGCTGGTGTGGTCGGGAAGGGTCAGAAGCGGGGAGGATTGGACAGTCAAAAGCAGAATCTGGCGAACCTTCATGTTCAGTGGGACTTTCTGCATCAAAATAAGAGTGGAAAAACAGCAACAGAGTACAGTTAGCAATGATGCTAACTAATAACGACGTAACCGCGTCAGCCTCGTTTGTTCAGAGTACTTTCAGAAAACGCAAAGAAACGGTTGCATGAGGAAAAGGAAATATGCTTAAAGTAAATAAAATACACTCACCATCAACTATTAGTTTTTTAAGCTTTCCTCTTTGCTTTGGTGTGCGATGGAAGCCCTGCACCGCCATCTGCGCAGACACCTCTTGAAAAATCTTTTCATTTCGTTTCGTTCCATCTAGCTCGCGCTGCACTTGTTCATCGGCCAGCAAACAGAGAAATGCCTGAACTTCAGCATTCGACCACGGTTGTGCCATGATTATTTGTTTTACCTTATAAAATATTCCAAAATAAGCTCCTCCGATTTCTTGTTGTCTGTTATGCGGGTGAAAAAGAAAATGGTGGATTGTGATTTCCGGTGGAAGACTGAATCTCCGCCCTCCACCAATGAATACGCCCCCTGACCAATCAGTGACCTACAGTGCGCTGATGT